ACAATAGCCCGATATATAAGCATGAAGAACAAACAAACACGGCCGGCTTCAAGTTGTGTTTCCTGGATGAACTGACGAGGCAGAGTCCCTGTAGCTAGCTCCACGGAGCAGCTAGCAGAGAGACAAGAAGCTAGCAGCAGCAGTCACTTGACAGAGCCGTCACTCAATGTGACCACGCCCTAATTACTGCAAAAACGTTAAGACCTAATATAAATAAAAGGGTCGTGTTAGAAAACAATTCACTCACAGATCCATAATCATGAAGGTGGAATCTAACTATATCGATAATAAAATGTATGGAGCCAGGGGTAGAAACATGTTTTTTTGTTTGTAAAATTGGGCATTTTAACATGGGGGTCTATGGAAATTGCTCCTTTCTGCAGCCATCGCCTATCGGCCAATATATGAACTGCAGTGTGTAGCACTTCCGTATTGGCGTCCCGGCTCTTCCCCAGAGTTTGCCGCTTGGTAGCAACCTGCTGGCACACAGCATCTGTCGCAACCTTGCAACCTGCACAAGGTATATATTTAACCCAGCGGAGCAGTGTTNTTGTGGTACTACTGCCTTATTAGGCCCATTTTGAGCAGAGCATATTAAGACCAAAACTCATGTACAACATCTTCCTTACTTGCAATACATAAGCACTAATTAGAGGGTTATTGAGGAAAAACTCTCAACTAATGGCTTATTACTTGTAGAATAAGGCATTAATAAGTGTTTTATAATGACTAATACTAATAAAGAGCCAATATACTGCTAATATGCATGTTAATTAACAACTAGTTGATGGTTAATTTGTGTACCTTAATATAAAGTGTTACCCTAATTTCTCTTGTGTCAATTAAAGAGCATTGTTTAGTGGAGGGGTGATATGAGGCCAGGTGTATGTTGGTTTATGGCAAAGTCAAATCACCTTTCCTATAGTTTACCAATGGAGGTCAATAAAGTTCAAAGATTACTAAATGGCTCTTAGTACAGTATCAGAACTTCACCTAGAAGGCAATGCTGTAGATTGTATGGATGGTCAGCAGTTTTTCCTGATAATGATACAAAATATGACGAGTTTATCAGCACGTGAGCCATTGACGCAGCAGGCTGCAGATGCATGGCTAAGTGTATTGATCATGTAGCAGAAGACGGGACAGGTGCACGTTGTTAAACAGCTGCAGCTGAGGCGTCATGCCCGGAATATAAAGGCAGTCATTAAACACTGTGCCTATTGATGAGACCTCACTCCTCAGCCAGATGTATATACCGCTGCAGCTTCACGTTAATGAGCTGGATCAGAAATCAGGTGGAGGGCTGGACGCCTAGGCAGCGACTCGTCAATAGGTGGCAGCTTTTCATTCAAATTCATATGGTAAAAATCAGAAAATGAAGAGCTGTGGAACTTACAGGATATTACAAAATGAGAATATGAATTGCATTGTGGGGATGCCTGGCTGTTGCAGCAGCAAATACTGACAGAGTAAAGCAATGGCATTTCAATATAAAAATGTAGAAAAACTAATATAAATTGCCCACAGGTGATACGCAGGTTTTTTTTTATATGATCAAAGACAGTATGAATAAGAAAATAAATGAGAGGTCAATTAAACCATGACGAAAAACCAATATGTGAGATTATAATATAAACATACTGCAGCAGTTGTGTATTAAATTGTGCTGGTATTTTCATCACAGAGTCTGTGAAAGCCATACATATTGAGCAGAAAGTGTCAATGTGCGCAAACAATTCCTTCACCTTATCAACAATATTCAAAATACAGTAGAAGCGAGCATACTACTATGTACTATTTGCTTTATTACGTGCTTAGTTTATCAAAATGTACATATATGTCAGTAGAGTGAAGGTATCGCAGGATGGTAAGAATGACGGTATAGTACGATAAAGCCCTAAATGCCAGCTAATTCTGTAAAGAGACTTCTTCCACCATATGTCACCCACTAGAGGGAGATAAGCACATCATAAATGTTTGTTAGTCAAACAACTCTGCAGACAGAGAATACAAAGATTATTCAGTACTACAGAAATGTTCTCTCACATTAGTTTTTATTTAATCTTATCTGTCATTGAAATATTCTAATAATGTTCACATTATCAACGGAACAGCACAAATAAAAGGCGAGCTATTTTGAAGCGACTTCATCAGTAACATTTCATTAAATGTCTCCTTGTTAGGCTACTAACATTGGCGTGACCCAGCAAGAGAGGTTAGAACAACTTCAGCTGTTTAAATTATCTGCCACTGGGAGATGGAGTTGCTGTGTGTGTACTTATATTGATCATGTTACGGGGAGACACATTTTGGAGATATTATGGGGACTACTTGACTCCCAAACATTGCAGCAAAGCTTAGACATACAACCTTCCCCTCCACACCTTATTTCAAAGGCCAAAATCCTTAAAAAATAGCCCATATAATGTATTTTCATTTACTTGTTAATAGGTTAAATAGGACAAATTATGCTCATTTTCAGGTTCATATTTGTATATTGTGCTTCTACTGTGACATGCCTTTATGACTGTCTGTCCTGCAGCACAACTTTCACCCTCTGTCTGAAACCAGAGCCCAGTCTGCTCTGATTGGTTAGCTGGATGGCTCTGTTGTAATTGTTCAACCGCTAAAAGATGTTCCACCCCTCAGACTATCATTTAGAGTCTGTTGGGGTACTAGACAATAGAAGCGCAGGTGTTAAATAGAGATGTCACTATGGTATGGAAGTGAACACAGGAGTCTAATGGAGGCTTTTCAGGCAGTGGGGGGAGTGTGTGGATGAGAAACTCCCTCTGGAGGGACCATTTACATGCACACAAACCTATATAACAAACTACAGGAAATGGAAAACTCTAAAAAGTAAATTAGGGCCTGTTTAATGTTTACAATACATCAAAAGAGTCTTACCAGCATGTCTATATATAACATAAGGATAGCAAGGTTTATAGTAAATGATGTCAGTCCCTCTGTCATCACACACAGTAAGTGGCAGTGTCATGACGCGAACAGCAACCTGTCTCTTGCTCACGGCTCAGACTGCAGTTTGCACATTGTATCCTTTAGAACCAGGCTTCAGAGCCAAATAGACTGTGTCATGATAATGTGTGGAGGATGTACCTAGTCATGCACAAGCCACAGCGATTTTTGATCCCCGACATCAGAGTGAAGCCTCAAGCGGTTGTTTACACAGGATGTTTTTTTCCGGAGGATTTAGCCCAAGCACAGTATAAAATCCTCTTTGTGAATTGGTGCAGTTTACAGGTTCAGCTGACTTTTTGTTTCAGGGGTCAGGGCCAAGCAAATCAGAACCAATCTGCCATTCAGCTGTATCACAAGGCTTAGTGACAGCACTATCCAGAATCTAAATACTAAATAAGTTATATTGGAAGCCCCTGTTTCCCAAACCTATCAATTGTCTTGGTATATGAAGGTGTGTTGACTTTAAAAAGCCTTGTCAAATAATTATTGATGACTCACTTCCTGTTGCTTTAACTCTATATCCACAACCCCAGGATACAACCTTCATACGTCTGCCTCAGCTGTTTCCATGACTTGATTAAACATATGGGAGGTCGAAGCTTTTAAGCATTTTCACCACGTACGTTACTCCCCATCAAAGACAATAACCCAAACCATTCCGCTGCTGTCACAGCTGAAACATGACTAATGTCATGATGCCCTCTAACAGTGGGGACTAATCAATTTATAAAATGATTTACGAGCCAAAGCCTACCTGGAAAATCACCTGTAGGACATAGCATATACAGTTTCCCACGCATGTGCAACGTCTTTATGTGGATTTCAGCATGACTGGAAAAACATTCTATGATAACTATTCTAGTGATGATCCTCTACCATCCGCTTGTTTACCTGCATGCCTGTTCTTTAAAAGGGAGCTCATGGCTAAGTCCCACACAGGAAGTAGAACATGCTACGGCTACAGTGAGCCTTGTGCACTATCCACATTTCTTGATAAGTTTATACACTACAATCAAGCCCTAGGCCATGATGCCTGGCAGGGATTACCAAGGGATTACAATATATTCACCCCACTGGGATTCCATCACATTGTGGATCAGATCTCTGTGACAGGGGACCAGTGTGCAGCACTCTCTCAGGGCCACAAACACTACTCTGACAGATTTGACAAAGAGCCTAAGTCTGTCTGACAGCAACACACAAACCGCTGTCGGGCTACAATGTGAAAGCTAAACTGGTGTTTCTCCCCCATTACCTTCCAGAGGGCAGGAAACAGGAACTAGGGCTTTTGAAGAAATATGAAAAGTTTGGCAAAGGGTTACTGGTTTCAATTCCAGTCCATTAGTGGTGCAATGCAGAACAAAGAGCTTGGATTCTTTCAAATTCTTTCAATTTCATCCTTATGTATACAAACTTTTTTTTTTCGCAATCATTTAAAGGACAGTATCTAGAAACTAGAAAAAATAACCTAACCTAATAAAAAACTCCAAAACAGATAACACATTGTAATTAATCAGTATAGCCAAACACATGCCTGCAGACCGTTGGTAGATTTAGTTTGAATGCTTTGGACCACTGAAACAAATTAAGCAACAGCTTCAAAAGTAATGTCACGAGAGAAAAAATGATAAATCCTCTTGTTCTCCATTTGTTGCATTAAACACTGGACACCATCTGTTGGGTTGGCCCGCAGAATACAACAGCGGCAGGGTGGCAGCTGCCACCCTAAGACACAACAGCCTGACCATGGCCACACTCTAAATATAAACCATTCTGGGCCTGTTAATGGGTTCTTACACTGTCTTAGTTATTGCAGGCTGACCAGCACACTAAGCGAGATAAAGCTAAAAGGTCAATGATCAAAATAAGCCAACTCTAAACAAAAGGCAGTTTGGTTGGCCGCCAAACAGGCATTACTGCGTATTATCACAACATTTCAGAAAAAGACAACAACTGGTGCTGTGTATCTAACATTTCAATCCCTTTGCTGACCCCTCCCTCCATTCTGACCCCACCTCCAGGCAGTAGGTGACTGAGATGGGCGTTCGTCTAGGCTGCTTGAGCGACTCCCCGTGGTGGCCGCCGCCGCTGCTGCTGCTGCTGTTCTTCACCGTGCCCTTCTGCTCAGGCCGGCCTTTCGGAGTTCCCACTCCTGCTGTGAACGTGGCGGTGGTGTTCAGTGGCTCGGCCTACCAGACGGAAATTAAAGGGCGGTTGAGCCGGGAAAACTTTATGGACCTGCCTCTTGAAGTGAACCCCATCACTGTGCTGGTCAACAACACAAACCCACGGGCACTGCTAACCCGCATCTGTGACACCCTCTCCACCAACCGCGTCCATGGAGTGGTGTTCGAGGACAACGTTGGCTCTGAGGCCGTGGCCCAGATCTTGGATTTCATTTCCACTCAGACGGCAGTCCCAATCGTGGGCATCAGTGGAGGCTCTGCTGTTGTCCTGCCTTACAAGGTCAGTGTGATGGAAGGGACAGGGAAAGGGCTAAGAAAGAGCTGCTTTGCGCTTTTTCAAATTGCAAGGTCATCAACTATAACAATTTGGCAGAAAAAATAGGTATGATTGTCACTATCCGATCCGTACCCCTGCCCGATCTGTACTGCGCATGTGCGAGATGGTCCGCCATATTGGAGAACTCCGGACGGCAACTCAAGAGGGACACTTGACACAGTGGCTTTTGGCAAAGCTGAAAAATAAAACTCGAGAGAGCTGATTTATTGTTATTACAACGTGACTTCACTATTATTTAACAACTCTTTTTATTGGGTTATTTTATTTGGGGTTAAATACATTGTCAGAATAAGTGAGAAATTAATTTAACTTATGTTAGACAGCCATATGCCATACATTTTGCATACATTCACAGTACATATTTATTCAGTATGATAGCTGTCTAACAGAAGGTACTACACTTCCGTTTGGTTGCCACTTATTCTGACAATGTACCTTAACTCCCAAATAAACAGAACCCAATAAAAGAGTTTGTTAAATAATAGGAAGGTCACGTTGTAATAAACAATAACTCATCTCATCTCGAGTTTTATTTTTCAGCTTTGCCAAAAGCCACATGTGTCAAGTGTCCTTCCTGGGTTTGCCGCTCTGGAGTCTCCAACATGGCGGACCATCTCGCACATGCGCAGTACAAGTCGGGAAGGGGGACGGACGGGTAAGTGACAGTGATAACATGATAACCCACAATAAATGAATGTCCACACACTGGTGGGACAGGGAATAAGCTATTGGGAAGGGCTAGATTGGGTTTTACTTGTGGACCCTTTAAGATTACAATTCTAAAGTCCATCAACTATACAATTTAATTTACTTTTCACAACTTTCCTTTGCATTAATAAGCCCTGACACAACTCACTTGAATATGTCAGGCTGCGCAAGGCTATAACGAAGCGTCCACACAGCAGCCGTGCGTTGGAGCTATGGCGGTGGGAGCATGTTCGGAAGCTTGGGGAGTCAACGCGGCAACGCGACGACACGGAACGAACAATCACTGAATGCTCCTGCCCCCGACAATACAAAGCAAAATGGCGTAGCATTCCATGCTGGCTATAAGTACCTGCCATGCTTGCTAGCTGTCCCATTCAAAAGTTTAAACCGAGGTACACTGGATAAGTAACTCCCCAAACAGGCGAAAACCTACGCAGTTTCCCCACCCACATCCCCCTCTGCCACCATCCCTCCATGCTCTGGTCCCCGGTTTGGTATCGCCGGAGAGAACAGAGACTAGATCATAGCAGCCGACCGGGTGATTCACTACTCGCACATCAGCGCGTTTGATGGGCTGCAGTTGTACTGGCAGATTTTCATAAACGGGATTTGATTGGCTGACCGTTCCGTCGAAGCTGTGCAAAAGTTGAACTTTGTACGCGAGCAACCCAAGCGTAGCACGCTCCCCAAAATGCATTCGGGCGAAGCGTGACGTACAACCCATGTCAAAGTGAAGGGCAGAAGGTTGAAAGCTTCAATGACGTCAAGACCGCTGTGTGGACGGGCCGTAAGGTCTAAGAGGAGAATAAGCAACTTTTAAGTCTGATGAGCGGCGGGGCTGAGTGACATCTTCAGGTAAGGTCTTATTAATATCACTTACACCGCGAGCAACTCCACGTAACATACGGCAGTTAAACCGAGAACGCGTAATAGAACAGATAATTACATGCTGAATACAAGATCATCATCAGTTGACGGGCAATCAGAGAATGTCATCAGCTGGCAGCCAACCATTACAGTAGTTGAAATCACAACGAAGTTTCCCTCATGTTAAGAGGTTAAAAATAAGACTTTCAATTATACAGCTAGGGTCTGAAAGCCCATTTGGTTTTCCTAAGTCTGCCATAATCTGGTCTGGGTGAGCTGTGATACGAGGTGATATTTATAAGGAAGTAGCAGAGCAATACAGAGGCCAGGTTATAAAATCATCCAGACAGATCAAAATCTGGAAGGGGTGAGTGAAGGGTGGTTTCATAATGAATCCTGACATGAATGAGATAGGACCTCGCTAATGAACGCAGTTTACATATGCCCGTAGCCAGTCCTGATGATATTGATCTGCCTTGTGTACCAACCTATTAATACACGGGTTCATAATTGCAACATGGAACTAACAGTTGGGGGTATTGGTTTCCGCACGGGACATGATGTTGTGTCTATTAAATATACTTGTGGCCCTCCCTGGCTTCTCTCTCTTCTTCCCGGACTGCAACCGGACAACATGTCCTTTCCAGTCTCTTAATAAAGTACCCCTTTTACCCATCATGCACCGCCTCTGACCCCATCCTAAAGGCACTACATTGTGACCCTGACACGTCCAGAAGTTTCCGGGACGGACCCGACACACGGCAAAGGAAACTCAGGTTTCTTTCTCGAAAGCCGGGATTTTTGGAATCGTCCGTGGCTGCCCACAGGCACGCGGACCGGAGGCTCGGTGCCGCGCCTCCGCAGAAGGCTGGGGGATGTCTCGCCTTGCCCGCATCGATCTTCACAACCACCAGGGAAGACAATGCACACCTGCGGNAAGCAGGGGTGGGGAACCTCCGGCCCCCGGGCCGTATATGGACCGCTAGACCATTTGGTACGGCCCTCAAGGTAATTTATAAACAAAGTGGCCTGTGCCTGGTGGTGGGGCCCAATGTGATATATTTTCATGGGGCCCAAAATCCCTGGCGGCGCCCCTGACTAAGATCAAAAGTTTATCCACCATAAGGTGTTGCCGCTCTTTGTTTTTTGACTTTATTCGTCATTTGCAACGTTCTTATATATTTTAAACTAACACCACTAACGTAAAACCAATAGTAGTAAGGAAAATGGAATAAAATAACCTGATGTGTCATTTAAGTGCTGTCAGTGTTGATTTCCCATGAAGACATGTTCTCTGCTCAAAATGTCACTGTGTTATTGCCCGTCTGTTTTTATCTCATGTATATCTGTCCTCTCGGCTTCTCTTCCCTCCTCTATAATAAAACACACCACTGTTACTCCGCCGTGTATACCATGCTCGGTTGGAGGTTAAGAGCATCTAAATATAAAGCCGATGGCTACAGAGTCAATCTTCTTACTTATCTTTTCATCTTCTCCTACGATTAACCTCTCTTTGCCACTCATCCACTGTTTGATGCTCATGACTTTTTCAAATAAATGTTTTACTCTAGAGTCTAGAGTGAAGAATCTAGAGTCTAGGATTAAAAAGTTAACCGCTGTCCAAACAATGAACACATGGTTCACACAAAGTGAAGTGCATTCTTTGTCAAAAATGTAGTGCAAACAATACTGTTGGATACATGGTGGATTTATAACATTAGGAGCCACAAGTTTGCCTTTGTTTGTGTGATCGATATGTCCAAATATGCACAGTATCAACAGCAGTGAGAAGAAAATGCTTTAAGTTTTTCGATCTGTAATACAGAATAATGTGTGTTGGAGATTTTTGCTTCAATTAAAACGCAGTAAATGCGACTTCAAAGTGTAAAACTGACAAACTAAATGTTAAAACTATTTAAATGCAGTAGCTGGCCGTGCATTTCACACCTAGGCCTTCACTAGTTTCCTACCTGAATCAATCCATCTCCACAAGTTATAAGTATAAGAGGAAAAGTGCATCTCGGACAGGTATCTAATGTAGCGAGAATGAATGCCATTACTAAAGCAAGAAACCCAAATGACACAATTCAACAAGTCTTCTTTCACTGCAACCACATGCAGTCATAATAAAAGGGCAAGAAAATATGAAAACATTTAAATCAAAAAGTAACTTTGACCAATACATTGGATTATTTTAACACAAAATCCATCCTCCTTTCTTTCCTCCAGAAGAGTTCAATTACTCTGACTAAATGTTGTACAGATTATCTGAGTTTTCAGTTCCAATAATAAATCCTGTTCTAACTCCATGGAGGCTAATGCTGAAAGTCAAGTCTGTACAGTCGAATTTCAGGCAACACCATTGTGGAGCTCCGTTTCTCTGCGCAGTTGTACGTTAAGCTGTAGATCCATTCGGGTTTCCCCTCACTTTTCAAGAGCACTGTTGCTTGTAAGAGTCCAGCCGTGCTTTGGTGCCTCGCTGCTGCCTGGGTTAGACAACTCAAGTTGTCAAGCCCTTGATGGGTCCAAACACCAAGTCGATCATTAGCGAATATCAGGCATTCCTGACATTAGAGTTCGCAGTGCTCGTCGGAGGCTGTGAGCCAAGGTACCGTTCGTAGCTAGTGAATTGGAAGTGGTTACTAGCTTCACCAAATCAATTTCTCCTCTGCTGTCAGCCATTGTGGGTTGAAAAAACAGCTTCAAAATCTAACCGCAAATCTGATTGGTCAATGCAACAGTTTCATTGCCATTCATTGTAAGCTACGAGTGCCCGCACTGTTGATTCTGAAGGCCTCAGGGCAGATTCCTTTGACCCAGCAACACATTCTGACTTAAATACGATTGGATAAAAGCTCCAACTTTAAAAACCATTACTGGACGCAGTACAACTGATACAACACAGATACAAGATATAAAATGAAGAGAATAGATTATTAGAAATAATTTAATAACTTTCGTTAATAAAATGTTATGAAAAAACATTAAAAGGTTAGTCGGTGATTCAGATATTGTTTAGGCCAGCAGAGAATGCCTTGCTGGCCCTGACGGCCCACCATTATTTAATACTTGACTGTGGTCACTACAATTGATCTTTTAATTCAGCAGCTTGTAAATGTAATTTAAATGTAATGTTCACAGACTATCAGGTATAACATCAAACACCTACATCATTTTTTGTCTGAAAACATATTACTGTGAATGGTTCTTACAACATTTTCCGGATGTTATTTCAAGGTTGGGCTGCTATAAGAAAAACCATGAAAAGATCAGCAGGCCACAGTATTCTCTAGTTTGGGGATTATTTTAACTATGTGTGGATTATTTCCATTTCCTTTAGCAGTCCGAGACGTCATAAAGTCGTTGCGTTTCCATGTTGGGATAATCCACAGGCGGGGAGGAAGTGAAGCCCAGCAGAAAGCACTTAGTGCTCTCGTTTGCATTCTAATGGAAGGAAACAGAAGGAAATGTGATATGCTGTCAGGCTGCTTTCCTTCCTCTGGCTATAACAAAGATTGATGGAGTGTGTGTGTACTTGAGCATCTTGTACTTTATACCACAGGAAGGTCACCTGTCCACATCACTGCCACAGACGGGGAGGGCTGTTCACACACACAAACAAGCTAACAAATAGCTTTATAGGACTATTGAGCAAAAGGAATTATTAGCTGTGTGTGAATGAAGTGAACTTTTATTGCATCTACTGTACATGAAAAGGCTTTACAAGGCGGGTGATGAATGGTCTTTTAAATAGAAGGTGCTCTCAATAAAAAGAGATAGCGCCCTGGTAGAATTAGTATTTATTTCTGAGTTTACAATTGGTGCAGTGGATTATCACAGGTCTCAGATCAGAGGGATCATCTTTTCACTTTGGGTTTTCACTTTCAGCTCTTCTTTCATTGTGGATCCGTCATCGAAATATGTGTTGTGCTAATAAGCATTGTCGTCACATTTAAATAAATAGCATTAATTTAAAGATGGCAAATATGGCAGGCAGGATTTTGGCAACGTACTGCATGTAAAACAGTTTTATTTCCCATTTTCCCATTTAATTTAGAGAGCACATTCATGCTCCCTATAGAATGAACCATTCCCAGTTCCTTCATGCCATTGTGAAGATAATACGATGTTGATCGATGGGAAAATTCACAAGTGCAGTAAACATTTCAAAAAAGGAAGAGAACAGATTTAAGAGACATTTAGATTAAAAATGTATGAAAATTACATTTGAATCTTAACAAATAGTGAATATTAAAATACCGCCTCCACAGAGTCAAAACTATTATTTATTCAAGGTGAAGACAAGAATCTGACTTTTTTTACAAGTCCACCCCTCTCTTACTCTGGAATTCCTGTTCATCTTTGGCTGCACTAAACAAAAAATACACAAGACCTAACCCCCAAAAATGGTATGATAAAGTATATATATATTACAAAAGATGGAGACAGTAGGAATGGATAAATGGAGACAAAAGGATTTCCGACAACACTTAATTGCATGCCGGAACAAAAAGAACATTGCTTGTAGTTCAGGTTGGCAGTGACAGTTTTCAACACCTGGAAGCTAAATCAAGCAAATGAAACTAATGATCAGCTGTGTCTGGATCAGGTCACTGAAATGAGCATTCCTCTTATAGGTTGTCTTTTCTATAGGTTCATTGTTCTGCTATATTGTTCTAAGATATTTCCCCACACTTTCCCACACATTGTTAAAGCTGAGAGTAGGCAGGTCAAGTATAACCATAGTTTTTAATTCCAGGTCTGTAGAGAGTCCAAACAGTGAAATGTGTGTCACTATCCTCTGTGACTTACAGAGAAGCCAAAGATAGATGAAAGAGAGAAAGAGAAAGCAGATGAAATAAATGTTGAACATTTTCATTTTCCATTCAAAAATGTATTTAAGATGAAAAGAAGAATTGCAGCTCTTAAAATACCTTGCAGTTAAAGTGGTTGCAGTGAAAAACCTTTTGTCACTTTTCGTCAATTATGGACAGTGTTGGAGTGTAGAGCAGAATTACGGTTATTAGGAAGGAGTGCAGCAGAGGCACCTTTTGTTTGGCCATGTAGATATCCAGCCAGACATTATTTATTTTCCCCTTCCAATGCTCTATCTTCAAGAACAAGAACACACTTATTTGTTTTTGCAAAGCAGGGCAGTGTACTGAATTTGTAGTCTAAAATATGCCTAAATTGAAAGTTTGAATGTCAGCTATTAAAAAGGAATAAATGTAATGAATAACTAATCTTCTCTTATTTTGATTAAATCATTGTGCCATAAACAATATATGTTGTGCAAACCAGAACAAAATCCTCTCATGTTGGCAGAAAAGTGATGGGATCTAAATGAATCCCATCTCAATTTATAAGTCTACAGTAGAAATGCAAGAACAATCGTTCATCGTGAATTGAGGATTGGGAAGCCAATGGAATCAATTTGAGAAGTTCTGTTCTTTAAAGAGGCCCTATTATGCTTTTTGGGGTTTTCCCCTTTCTGTCGTGTGTTAAATAGGTTTGTGTGCATGTAAAGGCTCTGCAAAGGCTGAAATCCCATAGTTTCCTCTAGAGGGAGGCCCCTTTTAATAGATTTTGCCTAGGTGTAATTAAATCTGGATCACAGTTACATACATTTAAAAAAAGATATCGGAAGTATTAAAAGTTATTTGGTTGAAATAAATTGGGTTGAGTAAGTTATTGATGGATTGGATCTCAAGGAAACCATGCCACCATGCAACAGGCCCAAGGACGCAGACGTATGCCTTCTCAGGCACACGCGCAGCACTGCTCTTTTGTTGAAGGGTTATCTGCTCTCCGCCACCAGTCACCTTTAATCTTGGTGTGTTTCAGTGAGATGTCAGAGAGGGAATCTTTTGGTGTAGCTCTGAGCAGATCTCTGACCTGAGAGGCTGACAGAGGGCAGCCCCCCCAAGCAGCTGTCACGTCTTATTACCAACAGGCTAACAACACAAACTCAACACAAAATGCTAAG